GAACAGATGAGTAAGTGGAACCTTGCTAGGGCATGTGACCTCCCTCTTTGCGACACTTTCTCCTCCACAGTGATTGTGGAACTCTGACCTGTTCCTCATAATTTGAACTTTACATCCCCAATTGAATAGTAATGTTAGTTTCTTTCTCCCATGAAACAGACAGCTCAACAGTTATCCTTCCCTCATTGTCTTCTAACAGTTTTATTTCCGAATCTTCAATTCAGCCAGTGAGCCGCAATACTGCAGAGCACAAAGGCCCCAGTAGGGAGGGCCTCCGGTGTGTGGTGGCGCATGCCTGCAATCCCAGTGTTGCAGGCAGCTGAGCTAGTTAGAAATACCATAGGCAGTGAGACAGGGTTGGGTCCCCAATGGAGCCAGTGCAGAAGCCTAGATACTTTACAACAATGGGGGAGACAGACACCTCCTGCTGTGGGTCAGACCTGAAGAAAAGGATCAAACAAATGCAACCACATCCTAAAGACTGAGATTCGAAATAGTTCCCTACCACCCTGAGGAAGCCAGGAGTCACCATCCCAACTCCCTAGGAAAGAGTCACTGCTCTCTAAGAATGCCCGCTTTCCACATGGCCCATGACTCGCTTTCCTATTTGTCCCTAATGTAATCAATTCTACCTGAACTATTGATCTTATTGGTTAACCATAGTTCTGTCCCACCTTATGCCCATCTGCCTTGTGAGTTCCCAGTTTTCCCCACCTTGGGCCCATGGTTTTACTCTATAAAAGTCCCTGGAAAAGACAAGAATCCTTGGCAACCCACCTGGGACCCCTTCTGTCTCTCTTGGACAGAAGCTTTCTTTCTTTCAATAAATATATTCTACTCTTACCCTCCACTGTTCCTACAATTTATTCTTCGATTTTAGAGAACACAAATTTGCGGACATAGTAGGTCAGGAGTTTCATTCCCCTATATCACAGGCACTCAGGAGGCTGAGGCAGGGGAATTGCTGTGAGTTCAAGATCAGCCTGAACTGTATGGTCAGACTCTGTCTCAAAAAGACAAAAAAAAAAAAAAAGAAAAAATGATGGGGATAGGAGTATCTCGTGGGCGGGGAAGTCAGACAGGAGGCAAGGGCATGGCTAAAACTAGCTGTGATAGAAGTGTGACCTGTTAATTACAAAATCCTAGGACACATGCACAGAACGCTTCCCACAGCTCTGCGCTTGGACTTCTTGCAAGGATATGAGCAGGTTTTCAATAGGAAGACCCAGACTGAGGCCAGCAGAAGTGATATGGAAGGGCGATCTAAAGAAAGGAGAGCCGCCCCTGAGCTCCTGCTGCTGTCTGCTCTCTCTACCCCACCCCTCACCAGGGTGGACTTTCTTCTATTACATCTACTGACCCCAACTCACTCTGCTGAGCCTGTTTTTTTCTTCCTCTACTAAATGCAAAACCTCATTATCATTTGTGCTTGTCTTGACCAATTCTTTGCCCAGGACAGAAAGGACAGAGAAATCACCTCTGGAAGGTGACACCAGCACCCCAAAGCCAGGCAACGACAGCACACACCCACACACTCTGCTGCCAGCTCTCCCAGGACACAGGTGGTTTCACTTCTAGACTCAAGGATGCTTTTTTCACAATTCTGGTAGAAAACGAATCCCAAAAACTATTTGCAGTGGTGTGGCAGACACCTAATCCAACTTACAATGCCGCTGGACTATACCGGCCCCCAAGGCTTTTAAGAATTTCCCTACCTTGTTCAGGAAAATTCTAGCTAAACTCTTGAGGCCACCTTGTTTGGGGAAATTGTAGTTAACATCTGTGGTCTCCCAAGTCAGGTCAGGGATTCCTGACAATTTGCAGCAAAAGGTACATAAAATGAGGGCCTTGCCACCATGAAGACCCAATTATTTAGCAGGATGTGGGTACAAAGTTTTGCCTAAAAGAGGGCAGGGGCACAAACCTGCAAGCAACACATGACTTATTTGGGTTCTGCTTAGTCCCAGAGGCAAAAAGACCTTTGCCAGACCATAAACCTGCTAGGAGGTCACCGAGAGCACTATGTGAATGGCTGGTTTTTGCAGAATCTGGGTTGCTTTTTGCCAGTCTCGGGTTCAGAGTAAAAGCACTGCATGAGGCCCATAGGGGACATGGATCTTGGGCCTCTGGAATGGACTAAGGAATGTCCAAAGGCCTTGAACAGCTTCCTGACTTGCAAAACCCATTCCTCCTGTGTTCATAAAAAACAAGCACTGTGGCTTGGAGTTTTAACTCAGCCCTTAACAAAGATGCAGCATTTGGTGGTGCACTTTTCCCAAACTAGACAGCTCAGGGAGGGATAGTCCTCCTGCTTCTAAGCAGTCACAGCCTCTTACCACATTCCTCAGGAAGCAGCGAAATTCTCCCTGACACCACCTTTGCCTGTATATGCATCCCACTGTGTGCTTTCTTTATCAGAATACAAAGGAGGTCCTGCTCAAGGCAGGAAGATGAAAGATACCACCCTGCTGAAAAATCCCAACTGGCCACCTCTCTCCCAGTGAGGACTTTGATCCCAACTCCCAACACAAAGGCCTGCAAGTTAGGGAGCACTAGCTCCCTATTACAGCCAGCCGGCTGGATCTCTCTGACCAGCCTTTCCCCGGACACACTGGAACTATTTACAGACAGAAGCAGCCTTAAGCCGAAGTTAGTGACCAGGATTCCTGGCTCCCCAAATGGGCTTACTTTAAAGATCTAAGGCCTGGGGTTTCACTCCTGACCTGCAGTCCCTGGTGCAATGCAATGACTGAGGAATAATTCTGGTCCCCGACACACTTCTCAAGCCTGTGACAAACATAACTGCACTCATGTGGGAGAAATGCTACCAATGAATAATCCAGAAACACAGCAGGGGGCCAATGTAAAAGAACTGCTCAGTAAGTCACTCAGAATTACCTAGTGCACCAAGAAAACAATCCAAAGGAAGGCACAACTATCAGGCCTCCACAGACGGGACCTGAGCAGATTGGTTTTGCTGAAAGGCCCACAGCCATCCTAAATTACAAGTACCTGTTAGTTCTGCAGACACCTTTTCTTTCACCTGAAGATTGAAACATAGAGGCCTATTCCAAGTTGTAGTTTGCCTAACACAATCCAAAATGACAACGAATCTTTGACTCAGCTGTCATCCAACTGTCATTCAGTATCTAAAATATTGCATATTATTCAGAAATTACTTTTTCCAGAGGGTTCAGTCATTGACAGGAGAGACAGAAGACAAATCATTTTAGGAAAAGCTACTACAAAAATCCACCAAGAAATCAACTGACCCTGGACTAAGGCACTCACTGCCAATGGCTACAAAGTGAATTTTTCTAAAATGCTACGCAGTAGCCCATTTCAGTTCTCTGCCCTTATAGGTGGGACCATGCTGGTTATCACCAGGTGAAGTGGGGACTCCCAATGATGTGGTCAGATTCCTGGACTGTTACCCTAATAGAGAACCTCAAATTCTTAAGAGAAAGTGAAGCCTCAGCAATGTAGGCTGGCGATATTTATATCCCTCCTCCAGCCGCTGCTGGGAAGGTGACCCTCTTGCAGACCTGCTGAAACCTCTCAAGTCTGACCAGAGGCTGGTCTTGGGAAGAAAACTTTTCCGCTTCAGTGAAAACAGCCCCTTCTCCACATGCCCTATAGCTCTGGACTTGTGGGCTGTTTACTATTTAAGGGGTGTCAACGAATGCCCAGGGACAGACTCCTGTGAGGTCTAACCAGCAAGTTTATGGAGAGGCTCTTACAAAGAGGTCCATCTACCAGAAAGGGAGCCAAACCCCGTAGGAAACAGAAGCGCCATCCCAAATGGGAGCCCGCCTTAATCCTAAGCAGTACTCCAAAAAGGCATTAGTTGTGCCTTCCAGACCAAGAAGATGCTTAGTTCAACCTGGCCTAGAGTTGGTATTCAGGGAAGGGTCAATTTTGTCGGGAAAGAGTAACAAATTGTACCTTCTCGCTTCTGAGAAGCATGGGAACTGAGGTTATAGCAGGATTCACCTGAGGGGACCCCAGCTCCAGCTCCAGGTCAGGCAGTCCCTCCTTCAGGGGGAGTGCTCACCTCCCATCCTTATAAGACAGTGGGGCAGGACACTGAGCAGGAAACACTGGGGGCAAGTAGTGCTATCTCAGCCGAACAGTCTGTGCCTCCCTGCATGAGCAACCCATGTTCCTCACGTAAACTGGCTGTGCAAATTAAAGATCACCAGTTACCAAGATTCTGTAATCATTTCCTCCTAAAAATAAAAAGATCTTAAACCTGTGTATACAAGTCCACGGTCCTTCTTGGTGTTACTGGCTTACTGAATAAACATATTGCCTTGCCCTAAAAACTTGTCCTCAATTCAATGGGCCCTTTTCAAGTAGTTAAAAAAAAATCCAGGCATGATAACAAACTTTTTTTGTAAGATAAAGCCTCACCCTGCTGGCAATGGAAGAAACATGTCGTGAGCCAGTTTTAAGACTGACTGCCCCTAAAGTCTCTACATTTTCATCTTTCTAAAGAGTTTGACATCAACTTTTATATCTATAAATATTTGCTGATAGATTATATGTTTTAGTCTTTCCACATAGGAAACAACTTAGAAAGAGAAGAAAAGCAGTAATTTGTACAAAGATTTATAACAGAATGTGTTGAAAAATTGGGAAAACCTAAACACCAAATGAAATTATTAACTCAAAACACAAAAACATTCACATAAAATACATGGGGTCAGCAGAATGCAAAATCAGCTACACTAAAATAGCAAAATTGTACAAAAACATTAAATAATAATTCACAGTAAATAGTTGGGTTTTTTTTTTATAGTTGGTTTTAGAGCTCACTCAAGATTCTTTCTTTTGCCAAGGCAATTATTCCAATTTTAAACGCCAGGGAAGCTGCAGAAGACATATGCAAGTTAAATCCTTCTTTCCCCACTAAGGCCAAAAAACCCTAAGGCCAACATTTTTTAAATTCCACCGCACAAGAAATCCACATATTTTTGGCTTAATGTCTCGGTCCGTACCTGTTTGCAGTCCAAGTCTGGTTGAAGATAGAAGTGTCACTGAAGGCATTGCAGAGGATGAGCGAATGAACTCTAGGGGATTTGTGAGTGTATTCAGCAAATTTCTGGGCCAGAAAGCCTCCCAAAGAAGCCCCGAACAAATGAACCTGGTCATAAACAAACAGAAGGCAGCTCCTGAAACTCCTATCCATCCTGATCGTGGGTGTTACTTTTACAAACTGCTTCAGTTATCACTAACCACAGAACGTCACCACCAGACGTGTGCTGGGTAACAGACTGAGATATCTGCAGCACTGGAAAATTAGGAAACCTCGTATTTAAGTAGAATTTATATACCCATTAATACTACTACTATAGAGCCAGATCGCACAAGTCAAAAAAGTGTTATTCACAAGTGGCATCAAAAACTGAAACCAGGGGCTGGGGATTTAGCTCAGCGGCATAAGCGCCTGCTTTCCAAGCAGGCGGTTGTGAGTTCGATCCCTGGTATCGATAAAAACGAAAAAGACCAAAAAAAAAAAAAAAAAAACCTGAAACCAATTAGCCTGAGAAAACTACCTGGGTTGAGAATACAGCCCAGTGTACAGCACTTGTCTAGGAGGAGTGAGGCTCTGGGCTCCGTACCTTGCACCAAAAAAAAACACTTAAAAAAAAATGATGACTCAGTAATTCCACTGCGAGGATCACACTCAAGAAAATAAAGACATGTTGGAATCAAACTTACACACAAATATTGATGGCAGGATCATTCATGATAGCCCAAAATGTAGAGACAAATTGAATATGTATACTTTGATGAATAAGCAAGATATGATATATGGATATATGGAAAATAAACAGATATACAACCATAAAGGGAAACAAATTATACACTTATCTCAAAACCTAAAACTTTTTGAAACCATGACACTCGAAAGAGTTCAAATTTTGAGCCAGTCTGAATTTCAGGTTTGGGAATCTGAAGCACTTCTGATCTCAAGCACTTCAGGTAAGGTACAACCTGTACTAACTCAGGCTGCAATACGAAAGCACCTTGGATACATTATGCTAAGTGAAAAAGCCAGTTACACAGGACCACACATGATATGACTACATTTATATAAAATATCCAGAAGAGACAAATTCAGAGACACAGAGCTAAAAGGAGGGAAAACAGTGAAAGACTGCTAATAAATACATCTGGGTCTCTTTTCCTTTCACAATACATGATCTTATGCATTCCAGACAAGCACTCTACCATGGAGCCCAATCTGAGGTTTCTTTCGGTTAGGGGTAAAAAGATATTCTAAAACTTGACAATGGTGATGGCTGCACAGACCTAGGAATTTATTAAAGAACATTAAATTATACACTTTTAAAAGGACAATTTGTGTGGCACGTGTATTATATCAAAATAAATATTTGAAAAAATAAAAAGCACTGGGCTTTAGAGACAAATGCTGCATTAAAATCATATGTGAATAATTCGTTTCAGGGCACTCACTTTATCCAGTTGTAAATGGTCTAGAAGTTTTCTGAATCCATCACAGAATTCAAGGTGGTCCCAATAAACTGGATACTGCAACTGAAACAGCAATTTTAAAATTTATTTTAAGAACAATAAAAGTACAAATGCAACTCGTATCTAAAAAGTTTAGGACTCATGTGACAGAATTTCTCATTTGCTCAAGTTTTGTTTGCTTGTTTTGTTTTGTTGAGATGGGGTCTCGCTCTGCAGACCAGGCTGGCCTCAAACTTCCAGCGATCCTCCTGCCTCAGCCTCCCAAAGGCCAGGATTACAGGCATGCATCCCTATACTCAGCCTCATTTACTCAAGTTTTGCTTCTTTTTCAAAATATGTGAAAATAATCTAACTTCACATTTTACCTAACAGGCCAAATTTCATAAAGGCTAAAAAGTAAGCACACCCTAGCTATACTACGTGAATAACAATTCATTTCATACCAATTTCATTTCCAAATAGCTAAGAAAGTCTGAGGTTCAAGGGTGAGACAGAGCAAAGAAATGCTGTTTCCTTTTAAGGCCAATTTCATTCTGAACTGAGAAAATGATACTCAAAGAACTCAAGAGAACTGAAAATATAATCCATTCTGAGCTTCCTCTCTTTCCTTAAGGAGGTGTTCAATAAAATTTTCTTTTAATTGACTTAGTCATTCTATCTGATTTCTTGTACTTTTCAATTATTAACAAGAGAGCATGGTGCTGACTTTGAGGAACTGATTAATGCCGGCAAAGACAGGAAAAAGTACAACTCACACTCACTCCCGGGGACCTGGGCGTGTGCCCTCAGAATTCCTCTTTTTACACACAAAAAATTCACCAACACACTTGTTGTAATCTTAAGATTTGTCACTGAAAAAGATCACTAGAATAGACACTGCACTGTGAATAGGGGTACCTCTGGATTTGATGTAACATATTACTTTTATTGTTAAAATTCTGTTTGTGGATAAGATTTCCACCATTTGGAGACAAAACAGAGAACTGGTTCTTCTTAGCTGAGTATTTCAGTCAGATGACAGACTAAAAGAAAGGAAACATTTCCTCTCCTATCCCCACCTCCACTGCCTTTTTTTTTTTTTTTTTTTTTTTTGAGACAGGGTCTCATGAAATTGGCCTGGCTGGTTCAAACTTGCAATCCATCTGCCTCAGCCTCACATGTAGCTGGGATTACAGACATATGCCACCATGCTCAGCAAAAGGGGATACTTTTATGAAGGCTTTAATTTTAAAACATGCAAACCAGGCTAAGGATACACTCTCTTGTGTGCAAGTCCCTTCATTCAATTTCCAGCACCCCCCAAAAAAAAGATCCAAACCAAACACAGGTGAAAAGGTTGTGTGCAATTGAGCACACACGCACACATAAACACGACCACAAATAAAATGGGAAATCTGAATAAGCCTAATAAGTGTATTAGCGTCAGTATTCTAGTTGTGACACATTACTGTACTTCTGCACAATGTCACCATTAGCAAATCTAAGCACAGTGTAAATGAGATGTTTCTTTGCTGTATGTGGATTGCTGGGAATTGAACCTAGGGCCTGCCACATGCTAGGCAAGTGTGCTACCATTCAGTTATACTCCTAACCCATCTTGTTTCTGCTTTTCTATAGTCTGATATATTTTATTAGCACACTTACAGGAACACTACCAAAGACAAACCTCACTAAAAACATGTGCTTGGGCTACAGTTCTTGCCTTGCATGCACAAGACCCTGAGTTCAAGCCCCAGCACCACAAAAAAAAAAAAAAAAAGACAAAAAACCCCCATGTACTTGCGTGTAGTACAACTCACTTAGAAAAGTATAGAGAGTGGATAAAATCTACCATGTGGAAAAAAAATCTACCATATGGCATAAATGGTACAAACATTAGTTAGTTGCTGTATGAAATTAGTTTCTTTAAAAAAAATCCTCCACTGAGGATTTGGCTCAGTGAGGTAAGTGCCTGCTTGCACACACAAGGTCATGAGTTTGATCTCGTTCCAAAATAATAATAATAATAGTAATAATAAGTAAAATCCCAAAACTGCCATTGTCCAGAAAAATAATTTGCAATTGTTCTGAACCTGAACTGCTGCAACTTGTTCACTGAAACATTCTGACTTTTTGTCTCCACATTTAAATATCCACACACAAAGGAAAGTACAAAACTGTCAATACGTGAGTTCTATTTTTCCAGCTGCCATCATACACTTTTGATCTTACAGAAAAAAAAAAATTCAGACTACCAGTAACAGGAAGGGGAACTTTTTTTTCCTAAATGTTGGAATGCTTCACAAATTTGCATGTTGTCGCCATGCAGGAGCCATGCTAACCTTGGTACCATTCCAGCGTTAGTGCATGTGCTACTGAGGTGAGCATTCCATATTTCTTACAGATGCAGGTTTCTCCAATCGCCTCAACAAAAATTGAAATGAAAAAGATCCAAGTTCTTTTTAACTGCAAGGTACCAATAAACATCTAGTCCAGCTTCCAAACTTCTTGAGAATGAGCGTTTTAATCTTGGAGACAGGGGTGGAATCACTACTGGACTTTTGACTCAGAATATAGCAGAGGAAGGGAAACCTTTAGGACAAAATCTTACCAGGTAGCGGTGTCCCCTCCCTGGCTGCAGGGGTACAACACTTGCCCTCCTAGAATGTGAGTGCAGAGGAGGACGATGTAACCTAGCTGCAGGGTGGAGATAAGGCCACAGAGAGCCAACGTACTCCAAGAAACGGTGCTCTCTCCAAGGCAGGGCTGCCAGGAAGAGGACTTGGACTGGTTTGGAGCCACCCCAGTTTGTGCTAAGATCAGCAGAATTTTCAGCTACCATTCAAGACAGCGAGCAACCAGTGAGCAGCAGAACCCTCACAGAGAGTACAAAAAACACCCTAAGAGCCCAGGTCCCAGAGCTACTGTGGGCCCCAAAGCTAAATAAAGGCCCTTCCTTCCTGGGAAGACGCAAGCCCAAATTCTTCACCGACCTATGCTGTCACAGGCTTGGGTCGCAACCTACAGCGCCTTTCAGGCATGCACCTCTTTTCCTAAGAAGCTGAGCATGATCAACAGGAAATCAGACTGAGACCAAACTCAGCTGTAAAATAATGAGAAGCCAATAAGGGAAAACATTCTTAACCAAATGCTAAGGCAACGTGCTGACTGAAGACCCTGACCTCAAATGTTCAAGATTTCCATGAAAAGTCAGTTTTGCTGTCACCTGAGTTAGCCAATGCCTTTGTCTCCTGTTTCATGCTTCGCTTCTGGGAGCAGTGGAGGAAACACAGTCAGTAAGGGAAATGGAGGCGCAAGACTGAACTAGCTTCCTCCCTCACCACCAACTGGCTGTGTGACACAGGGGGAACCCTAAAACCACCTGGGCCTCTAGATCCCAAGATGCACACAGGGACAACATGTTTCCTGCCACTAGGAGCTGTGTGTCAGGAGAGGATACACAGAACAGCTGGGGACAGAGGTGGCTGCCTTGAGGTCTGTCCCCTCAAAATCTCTGGGTGCCTGTGCACACAGACCTGCAAAGGATCCGCCTCACACTTTAAAATAGGAAAACAGCCAGGCATGCTGGTATATACCTGTAATCTCAGCACTCTGGGAGGATGAGGCAGGAGGACCACGAGTTCAAGCCCAGCCCGGGCAACTTAGCGAGCCCCTGTCTTAAAATTAAAAATACTAGGGGGCGGGGGTGCAGCTCAGTGTGAAGGCTCCGGTTCAATCCCCAGTACCACCACAAAAAAAAAAAAAACCAATCTTACCTCAATTTAAGCAAACAGTGTTCGTTACTGTAGTTGATCAGAAATAGAAGCACAAACACCAAATCTGAATTCTATCACTGAAGTAGTAATACTTACAGCTATAACCCGGTAACCCCATCCAGTCAAAGCCAAAATCTGCCGGAAAAATACATCCGCTGTTCCGCTGACAGGAGGCAGAAATATGAGAGGACACCTGATACTTCGGGGACCCGCATCGTAGAGCGACCATATTTTACTGTCATCATCATCTACGATAATCTGGAGGAAAAGCACAAGGAAAAAGACAGGCCACCTCACGGCTCTGGTGTCGTTAGCTGAGACGATAATTTCACTGACAACCTTACTGCTGCAGCCTTACACACTGAGATCACAGCAGATCAGCTTGCACAATAAACCAGTTTAGTTTTCTTTTCTTTCTGAGTGCCAAAAGATGCCACAGAACTGCTTTATAAACTTCCTTGGGGTTGCTCTCTCTCTTGGTTCATTTCCTGTCCAACCTTGATAATAGGAAGAAGTGTATTTTGTGTGCTGTTAAACAGTAAAAGGCATCTCGCTTCTGGCTGCCTGTGGTGAGTGTGTGCGTGCGTGCATTTGGATGCACACAATGAGAGCACTTGCAGAGTCACCCTCTGGTGGCGCAGGCTCCAAACTGGCTGAGATGGGGGTGGGGGGGTACCTAGGGGTGAACAGGGGAGGCCACCAGATGCCAAGACCCCAGTTCCGGAAAGAAGCTTGGCAGAAACAGTTTCAGCCCAAGAGATGTTTTAGGGCCTTCTGATCCATAAAAAGCCTCAGGGAAGGAGGGAAACAGCAGCACCACTGTCCCAGGGGACTACAGAGTGGACACAAGGAAAAAACTGGCTTTTTGGGCAAACAGGGCAAGAACCATGTTAGAAATCTCCCTGACCTTGTGGTTCTGGACCCTCCAGGGAAAAAAGAGAGCAGGACATGCGCAAAGAAGTCAGGCGCTTGTTGGGCTGCATGAATCAGCCACAGTGACCATGTGCCACGTGGACATTTGCCAGTTCAAACCAATGCCTACCCACTGTTAGACTGCAAAAAGCCAAGGCCTGTGGACACTGTGCTCCGAGAGCTGCGAGCCGGCAGTACCAGGGACTCTGCCGAAGCACTGAGTGGGGGGCAGGGAGGGAGTCATTGCTGTCACCAGGACCAGGCAAGGCAAAGTTCAGAGGGGCCAAAAGATTTCCCTTTGGACTTTCTTGGGTTACAGACGGGGAAGCTGTATCTCATGCTCAAGCTTTTGACCTTTGTATTTTGCCCTTTACAGTTTTGCTTTTCCATCTATCATTCTGTTGTAACTGTGATTAAAAACATAACCCCCCCAAAATTCTCAATGCCCTTTGACAGTGGAAACAACAAACCCCAAACCTGTAGTAATAAAATAAGACCATCACATCTCTGAAATAGTCTAGGGAATTATTTCAGCGTTTCAGGCTGGGAGAAAAGTAACACAGATAGCATGTTCTGAAATAACAGACTCTGAAAAAGGACAGAGAAGCCATAAATACCTAAACATATTTACTGTAACTGAGTTCTCCTACAAAACACAGGACTGCATCTGTTTAAAATTTAAAATTGAGCACCACAAAATTAAAGCATGGTCAAATTCACTGACAGCTGAGAAAAATGGCATCAAAGAAACTACTTCCTATCACTACGTGTAAGAATATGTAGGTAAGTTTGGGTGTTGGAGCGCTTCTGCCAGGTTTGGGGGTGCACACCTATAATCCCAGCTACTCAGGAGGCAGAGACAGAAGGATCTCAGATTTGAGGCTAGCCTGGACAATTCAGTGAGATCCTGACTCAAAAATAAATAAATATGGGGCTGGGGATTTAGCTCAACGGCATAAGCGCCTGCCTTGCAAGTGTGTGGTCATGAGTTCGATCCCTGGTACTGATAAGACAAAAAAATTTTTAAATAAATAAATATAAGGCTGGGGATGTAGCTCGGTATTCCCCGGGGTTAATCCCCAGTGCAGCCACCCCAAAAACAAAAACAAAAAACAAAACAAAACAAAAACTGATCGTACGTGAAAACAGGAAAGAGGTGAACTTTATGCTCTGTAACCCAGTCACAGTATTGGTAAAACTCTTTCCTTTCATATTCTCAGCAGAGACACTGGCGGTTCAGGGGTGAAATTCTCAGACTCTCAGTAACTTCTTTTTTTAAGTGCTGGGATGGAACACAGAGCTGCATGAAGGCTTGGCAAGTACCCTCCCACTGAACCACAGCCCCTGTAACCTTACCCTCAAATATCACTAAGGCAAAGCATGGAAGTCACGCCCCAAAACCGGGTAAGAGTTTTACAAAGAAGGGGAGCAAAACTATACATACCTTTTTAAGGGGAACTGTGCTTCTAAACCAGTTATAATCAGGAGAGACTTTTATCTCTCCCATGATTAGCTGAGACGGAGGTTAACCCTGAAATAAAAGCAAGTCATGAATTTGTGTTTACATCAGAACTAAACGTACAGGCTGGGCTAGCTTTGCCAACAATACTTTAAAACCAAAGAAATTGGCCATTTTACCTTGTTAGTACACACTTAAAATTACAAAAAACAATTTGGTAAAATACTGTAATCATAGAGCCATGAGAAATAATGATTACAATCTCTTTAGTTCTTCTGGAAGAGGAATCTAGTGTAGACAATTTGCCTGACTTTCCACAGATCACATCCTAACACAAACTAGGAGGACACAGGAATCCTCTCTTGCCACAGTGCCTGCCCCAACTGCCAACTGTGGTGCCATCATCTTTTAACATGACCTTAAGAATGTATCTTAATAAAGATATTCCTAATTACAGGCAACAGTTCATGCTAAAGAAAGGTATTAAAATACTTGTTTCCAAATTAATTTACAATATCTCATAAACTTAACCCTAATGGATTCAGGAACTCACATGTAGTTAAGGGATAGGTAAATTTGCCATTTTTAGTGGTGTGATTAAACATTACATAAAAGTTGCTCTGGAAGATCAACAGTATAATACAGAAGGCACTAAACCTAGCAATAAAATATTTAGGGAAAAAAAGTAGAATTTTGTTAGCTTAGTGATCTCTAGTTTGTTTGTGTGGTTTTTTGGGGGTTGTTTTGTTTAGTGGTATGGGGCTTGAACCCAGAGCCCACACATGTAGGCAAGCACTCTACCCCTGAACTGATTTCTAGTTTTCACACGATGACCTTTGATAAGCCATGACTCCCTTTGGGCTTGTTTTCTCATGAGTTACCACTGTATTTCAGACCCTAGAATATTCTATGACACTGAGCAAACATCAGCTGGTGACCTACATCCTGAGGGGACTGAACTAGGTCCTCCGAGAGTCCCTCCTAACCCTGCCACCGATTACACATCTGCTTTTTGCTCCAGCATCTCTCTATGTTATGCCATACCAGGAACCAGAAATTCTAGTTCCTTATTTCAGATTCTTCCTGCCCACTCAGGAACTTCCAGCCATCCACTTGGGAGGATATAAATACTTGTCTTCTACTGCACAGGCAAGCCCCAGTGGCCCAACAGAGCTGAGCTGAGTTTGAGACTCCAGAACTGAACTCCTGGGCTGACTCTGAACTGTCATCATGGAAAAGGTTCTCGGACTGGCAGGGAGCAGGGGACACTAAACGGAACTCTTCCCCTTTCCGTGGCCAGCAGGATCTGTCCCCACAGGGACACAGGCCCTTAGCAGTCTCAACTGCTACCTTGAGGAGTGATTAAATCCCAGGAGACAGTAAATGCACAACATTAAACTCGATTTATAAGTACCATTATAATGCTTCTTCTCTCCAAACTAAAATAGTATCTTTAAAGTATTAAGGTGCTTAAAAGTACTAAGAAATTCACCAGCAATCTTATACTGAAAACCATAAATGAACTATTAGTCACACTACAAAGAAAAGCAATCTTTGCATAATCCATTTGATCTTAAAATATTAACATGTTTAAAAAATCAGCCATTTTTAACGATAGTCTTTCTCTAAATTGATAGTATTTCTCTAAATTGATTAAATGAAGGCAACTAGCACACTGAGTTAATTCTAGAATATTTTCTACCTGGGCAGGCTTGATATCCTTCCCTATCATCTAAACATTTCCTATTGGAGATATTTTCTATTATTGCATTTTCTAGAAACAATTACTCCACAGAAAGTTAAGAAAACATGTTAAGCAAATAAAATCTCCACAGATTTCCAAACCTTCTTTCTAATCAAAACTAAAAAGTTTGCTTTGAGAAGCAAAAAATTTGGGATGAGAAATTATTCATAATTTTGGAATCTTGTTACAAAGCATAAGCCAAATCGTATGAACACACTGGCACATAAACTCACTCACGCATCCACTTCTTCCCCACAGCAAGAAAAAAAAAGATGTTCCTTACCAACAGCCTCAGTACAATTCAACCATCTCAGTATGGTAACACGTTTCAGCTAACCTTGCTGGATGGAGAGATGCCACCCAACTATGACTAATTTTGTGCAGGGCCAAGTGATTTTAACACTTGTGCTAGTGGGGCAGTATTGAAAGGTGAGACACAAGCCAAATGTTGCATCTGACCAGCTGACATTGAGGAGGAAAAGTCTCCCTGCTGCAAAGGGAGAACAGCTGTGCACCATATGAAAAGGAAAGTCTGTTCTCTCTTTCATCCGATACCCGGCATACTTTTCCAAGTCACCCGAGAAACATTCTTCTATGGCACAGAAGGTGAACTGAGATTGTGACAAAACTGGCCAGGATTAAAATAAACATGTGGACGATGGATCCAACACTATGGGATCTCCCGTGATTCCGGGGTTCACAAAAACGAAAGCACTTTGTGCTGGCGAGTGAAGGGCCACGGAGATCAGCCTTCATCTTAAGGAAACCCTTTCTCTGGGGGTACTGCGACTCCCCTCTACTGCCAGACAACGAACATGCCAGTTAAGTCATGCCTGTCCTTTGAGGCTTCAACAGATTCTGCCAGTCCACAATCAAAGAAAGTACTTTCACAAACATTTCAACCATATAACCAGCTTAACGAGTCACGCATTTTGAACCCTTGATCCAATCTACAGTTGATTTACATATGCATAATACCTGCAAAAACAAAGTACTGGACCTCAAGAGTCTCTAGACAGTATAGTATAATTGGAGTACTTTTGGGGGGCCAGGAATTGAACATGGTCTGGGAAATGCTAAGCCTCCTTTTTACGACTGAGTCCACCCCCAGGTCCACAGCTGCCTTTTTAATGCAAGGGTCCAACCCTCCCGACCCGACCTACTACTACCCTTTCCACGGTTCCCTCCAGGAAGATCAACCCCTTTTTCTCTTCATCATCTATAAACTTCGTAGAAGAAAAGCTGCCTACTTGGCAAGTCTCCTGTAACACTTTTCTTGAGCTTTTGGATATCTGGACGCCGCTATCATGTTACTTTCTTGTTCTGCGGACTCCTTGTTCCGAGAGGAGCTGAACCATTACAGGTGAGACAAAGAAGCAGCGAAAGCCACTGACTTACAACTCCCCAGGCAAAAAGAGGAAAAGCCGGACCTTCTGGTCCTGTGACTTTTCTGAAACCTCACCCTGGCCTGTGCTCAGCAATGACACAGACATTTGTTACTTTCGGGCTGAGATCCAGTCTCCAAAACTGAGCTCTCCCCGACTGTTCTTAAAGTTTACTGAAATAAAACGTTTCGGGGCCACGGCCCCAGAACCTTAGCATAGACCTACACTGGGGGCCCTGATTAGGGATCCTGGGCCCCCAAACTGAGCCCTCCGAGCCCAGCACTCGTCCCCTTGGTGACAACCACACAAAGGTGGGGCCTCAGGCACCCCGACCACCCTCACTAACCCAGACGTGGCCACACACACACACACACACACACACACACAGATGTGCGATCACGTGCAGGATCACATGGACCGGCCCACTTGTGGGCTACGGTCACAAAGTCATACCCGGCCGAGGCAGCCGCGCATGCTCCTTACACACCCCCTGCAACCCCGAACACCCACATGCCGGCTTCCGGGGGCCTCGCCCACCCCTCACCTGCGTGGCCACCCCCACGTCCCCTTCCCGCCTGCCGTGGGCGGCTCCGGGCAGCTCCGGTGCGGGTGACACCGGCGGCCGGAGCAGAACGCCGAGGGCCCGCAAGCCACGGTGGGGGCACACGGGAGGTCGGCCTCGGAGGGGCGGGGCGCGCGGCCGAGCTGCCCGGGCCGCCGCACTCCCAACTCCCGAGCCGTCCGCTCCCGCTTCCGGGTTTGAAGGGGGTGGGGCCACGTCACGAGGAAGGGGCGGGGCTGCGCCTGGGCGGTCACTATGGCGACCGGGAGGTGGCGGAACCTGGAATGAGCGTCTCCAGGCGCCCTGAGTAGCTGCGGTTGAGCGACCTGGCAGCGCTAGAAGAGATTCGAGTCACATCTATGTCAGCTCCAGCGCACCTGTCTGACCTGGGCACCCGGGAGAAAGTTATGACTATGGAAGAAAGAGGCGCTTTACCGGGAATGGTGATGCACGCCTGAAAACCCAGCACTTGGGAGGCTAAAGCTGGAGGATCGCTGGGATTTCGAGGCCACCCTGGACTACGTAGTGAAACCTTGTCTCAAAAAATAACTAAATAACAAGGGGATGCTAGGGCTTTGGGGACCTGCTTCTGCCTTGAGCTCCTCGTGGAAAGACTTGAGGGGACACCTTTGGCTTCTGAGCTTTGATGAATAGGTCTATTTTCTTGCTAGGGTTTTTTGCTTTGGCACAACCAGGAACGCTCTCCGCAGTCCTCCACTCAGAACCCCCACCTTCCTTTCCAGTCAGGTGCTGACGTCTTTGTGAGGAGGTCTGGGAACAAATTCCTACGCCCCGCCTTTCTTACCACAGGGCTTGGCCTGAGACGCACATCCTTTACCTGCAGGTGCAGAGAATGTTAATACATTTAAAATCGTTTGTTCTTAAGCACGATGTTGCAGCCATCAGGTCTCCTTTCTTTGTGAAACATTTCCACGTATAAGTTTGTTTTTTTTTTTTTTTTTTTTTTTGTCTATTTGAGACAGGATCTATCTACGTAGTTCAGGCTGGCTTTGAGCTCACTTTGTAGTCCAGGCTGGTCGATCTTCCAGCGATCCTCCTGCCTCAGCTTCCCAAGTGCTGGGTTTACAAGCGTGTGCCACCACACTCGGCTGCATATATAAGACTGAGTAACGTATAAATCTTGATTGAAGTTTTTAGGAATCCTGGAACAAGCTCCTGCTGTAAATGCCTTTCTGCAATGTTTAAGGGAAAATTTATACACTGTTAAAAGGCCTGTGGGACCGGAGGTTTAGCTCAGCGGCGTAAGTGCCTGCTTGGCAATGTGAGGTCGTGAGTTAAAAAAAAAAGAAAGAAAAGGCCTGTGGTCTTTGCCCAAACCCTGGCAACCGTTTATGGGTTTAAGGTCAGGGTAAATTCCAATTAAACTGTATCCTTACTCATGACCTCTGTCCTGTGGCTCAGGGGCCTTTATTCCAGTCTACACCTTGGATAACTCCTAAATGCATTTTCCAACACCATGGTGAGACATGTACCTATTTTTCCCCATATCACCTCTTTGGGAGAAGCCATGAGTCAGTCATAGGAAGTGATCCTGATAGTGAGGATTCAGCCCAGGGTCTTCATACACCTGTACCTCTAGAACTTTTTTCAAAATTTCATTAGGGTCTCACTAAATCACAAAGTTGCCTGCTACACTCAAATTTACAATCCTCCTGCCTCAGTCTCCCGGCGTGCTAGAATTACAACTTGTGCCACTGCTTCCAGCCAAGAAATGATACTAAATCTTAGTGTAGCAATCTAGGTATGACTGAAAAATATGGTTAACATTGAAAATTTTTTAATTATTACAATAAAAGACACGTTGCCTTTACTCTCCCTCAAAATACCTCCCCTCCCAGCTTTGAATACTCTCATCCCTTCATTTTTGCCACTTCCTGAAGCACTTGTAGAAATCTTTTGTATCTTTAGTTGTGTTGTGTTGGCTGGCTCTGTGTACTGAATTGATTCAAGACATTTTCTATTCCAGGTCATAGTGACTTTGAGAAAGAGCCTGAAGGCATAGAAGGTCAGATTTGGTAAATACGGTAGATGAGGACACACTATTTTTATGAGCCAGCCTTTTCATTGGTTGGCACTTGTATTTCTGTATTTTTAGTCACACTTCATGAAGACATTCACAAAAGAGAACTTTCAGAACTGCTTCAGAAAGCACCAGGAATGACAGGTAAGTGTGTATGAGGCAAGGAAGATTTTGAAGAGGTTTTCAATGTATCTTTTACTGTAATAACTTTTTCAAATTTAAACATTTAGTGTGTATTTTGATCACCTCTCGCAGATGCGTGAGACATTTCTCTTAACATATTAATACTGGGAAACTTTTCTCAAAAATTTGGACTAGTTGAGCAAGTGGAGTAACTGCAAGTGGCTTAGTGTATGGAATAATTGTCAAGCCAGTGGGTGGTTGTAAAACAGCTGATGTAGCTTAGTCATAGAGCACTTGCCTAGCTAGTGAGAGACTGTGGGTTCCATCCCTAAGCAGAGAAGAAAAGTCATTGTGGACACTCCTGGCACTGGTTATCAATCTCTCCAGGCAGACTGGGAGCTTTACTATAGAGGAAAGAGAACAAGTGACCAACCCATGCCTTCGCACATGATCTGGCCATAAATGTATACTGAATTAATAAGGGATAAATCAGTCTATTCCTAAAACTCTCTCTTAGACCCCCAAACCCCTGTCACTTTAGTAACAAGGCCGAAATCATAGGTATACCTGTATAGATAAGTGTGATAGTAATTTTTTGCTTAACTGTTGATACTAAAGATGAAGTGTTGGGCTGGGGATTTAGCTCAGCAGCATAAGCACCTGCCTGGCAAGCACCAGGTCATGAGTTTGATCCCTGGTACCAGGAAAAAAAAAAAGATACAGTGTAGGTATGCTTTGTTACATATCTATTTGTACCACAACATAAAAGACCAAACCAAAAATAATGACTGCTTTTTCTTTAAAAAAAAAAAAAAGCCTCCACAGTCATGTGTGTGCCCTCAGGGGTTCCATAACACATACCAAGTGCACTGACCACTCCCTGGCCCTAACAAGGAACCTTTGATAGCTGTGATTCCAGCTGTCTTGAAATGCACAAGTGCAGGCAGCAAGCAACAGGCCCAGGCAGGCAGACCTGGTGGGCAAAGCGCTAGGAATCTGCAGCTGTCCTGGCTGGGGTCAGCCAGCTGGTTCCCCAAGCACCTCGTCCCGTGGGAAAACCTCCCTAAAAACCAGGCATGTTCACAGATACTGCCATGTACACCAAGCAAAAGCAAACAGATGTCCAGCTGGCCCGCTGCCCAAACCCAATTTTGTTCCTCTTAGTTGAATTTTTTTTTGTTTTTCGGGGATCAAACTCACGACCTCACACTTGCCAGGCAGGCACTTATGCCACTGAGCTACCCTGGCTCCTAGTTGAACTTTTGACAAGATAATAATTATTTTAAAACACACATACAAAGGAATCCTAAATAACCTCTCTGTACGTATGTGCATACATGAATGTACTATTTTTATGTGTTGAGAAAAATAAACACAGACTTACACACACCTCAAGGCTCTACTCAGCTATCTGATGGCCCCATGTACTTTAGCTCTATTAACTGCCTGTGGGTGCCCCAGCAGCCCTGGTGTCTCAGGCCCCTAGACTTTTGTATGCACTCTTCCCTCCACCCAAACTGCCTCCCTGCCCTGGAGTCACTGTTGTGAATTCCCCTCACTTATGATCCAGAAACACTAGATTTTTCAGACGAATGCCAACTCTTCCAATATCCTTCTTTTAAAAGCTTCCTATAAGCTGGTGCTATGGTGCACACCTGTAATCCCAGCACTCGGGAGACTGAGGCAGGAGGATTGTTGTGTTTGAGACCAGCCTGGGCTACAAAGTGAGCTCAAGGCTGGCCTGAACTACATAGTGAGATAAAGATAAATAAATAGATACTCAAAAAGATACATAAATAAATACTTCCTATGTACAACTGACTGCACTGTGAACCAAATCATGCACAGCCCCAGGATTAAAAAGAAAAAGAAAAAAAAGCACTGCTTCCTCCTCAAGTCTGTGCCATGCTGCATGGATTACATGGAGGGGAGGGGAGGGGAGGAGAGGCGAGGAGAGGACCCGCTCTTACTGCTGTGGTGCAAAGGTTATTTGATGAGTATGGCAGCAAGCAGACTGCTACATCTAGACATTCTGATTTCCCCAGCAGGAACATGAGCTTAGAGAGGATGTAAATGTTCAGTAAAAATCAAGTATGAAACAGTAAAACACTTTCACATGGTCCGTCGGTGGTGCCGAAACTCTCCATTTAAACTTAACAACCAAAATCTCTCACTTCTATGGCAAATATCTTCTGAATCATTTTCCCCCATCCATGTGACATGTGACTATGGCAGATCTTTACTTTTCCAACCTTCTAACAAAGTTTCCAGCCCAGGCCTTATCCAATGTCTCTTCCATACCATTGTGAAAGTTAACTTTCCAAAAAGCAAATCCGGTCACATCCGTTAAATCCGTAACGTGCACGATGAAGGCTCATACTTTCTGCTATCAAAGCTTTCCATGTCATCCTATTCCATTTCTATCATCACCTGCAAGTTTTTTCCCAAAAGAATGCCCTCTTTCCCCACCCCATCTTTAACATGCTATTTGTTTCTCTCCCATGATCCATTGTCAGGGTTCCCCCAAGCAACTATATATACAACTCTAAGTATAAAACTCATAAACAACAAATTCATGGTATCACTGTCTTGGTTACTTTTCTCTCATTGCTGGGACAAAATACCCAACACCCAAAATGAAGGAAGGAAAGGGTTATTTAGCTCACAGTTTGTGGAGGTTTCAGTCCATAATGAGCTGGCTCCAAGACAGGGTAGCATGGCACCAGGGCGGTACTTCCAGGCAGCAAAAGATATAGCAAAGCAGCCAGAGCAGAGGGTGGGGAGAGCACACTTCTTCTTCTCCCTTATACTGTATGCAGGCTGGACACAGAGTGGACACAGCACTCATACCACCAATCCCAGCACTGGACAATGAACCAATCACAAACTCTAGATTCAACCACCTTTGAAAGCCCCTGGTGACACGAGACTTTGGGGGGGGACATCCTGACACAACCCCTAACATTCCACCCCAGCTCAAAGATTCATACACATCCCTTATGTTAAAGACATTTAGTCCACCTGCAAGAGCTGCC